CATGATCGCATTCATGCAAATATATTCATTCGCGCGCAGACCCATTCATACTCAGATTCCCTCGCGCTCTGACTCACCCGCGTTCTTTCTTTCGCAATCAGATCTATCGTATTCCTTTGCGTTGTGTACCCCGCCACATTTCGGCACACCCCTCATGCGGTTCGTGGCCCCATAGGGGGCGCCACCGAAGAAGATACTCACAATTGCGATACTCACAACTGCATATGGTTGGGCCCTTCGCCAGGATAATTTTCCTAGGGCGTAAACAAACCTACCTCGCTTTTGACCACCCTCGCTTCCAAGAGATACCAAGCGATGCTAAACTACGGCCTGTACTGGTCAGGCCGCTTGACGAGGAGGCGCGTGGTATGACTTGGTTTTGCCTGGAAGCGAAAGTGGGGTAGGTAATTCACGCTCTGTTTTCTCCCTCCCGACTCGCTTCCCCGGCCCCCGGGGGCGCCGCCCGCCGAGGCCACTCGGCCTCGTGCACTCGTCCCCCTCTCTCGTGTCCACCGCCGGCAAACGCCGGCTAAATTATCCTGGCGAAGGACCCAACCATATGCAGTTGTGAGTATCGCAATTGTGAGTATCTTCTTCGGTGGCGCTCCCTATGGGGCCACGAACCGCATGAGGGGTGTGCCGAAATGTGGCGGGGTACACAACGCAAAGGAATACGATAGATCTGATTACGAAAGAAAGAACGCGGGTGAGTCAGAGCGCGAGGGAATCTGAGTATGAATGGGTCTGCGCGCGAATGAATATATTTGCATGAATGCGATTATGGAAACGCCTAGTGTAAGTGTATATGAATGTGAATGGTTCGAGCATGCCTGTCCGAACACACGTGGCACTGGGCGTGGCCGCCGCAGGCAGCTTCCGCGGGAACCCCGACGGCAGCGTCCGCACGTCGCGACGCCCATGTCGGCACGCCTCTTGCGAGGATCGCGCCCGCTTTCGGCTCTTCTGTTCCTTCCTCTTTGCCCGCGCACTCCAAAATCCAAGGCTGCGGGCGCAGCGCAGCGCGGAGCCCCCGCGACGCGCGCTGGTCGCCCCGGGCGGGGTCCCAGCGACGCGCGCGGGTCGTCCGCTGCGCGAAGCAGAGAGAGCTGACTAGCTAACTGGCTGGCTGATAGCGGGCAAGTCTCTGACCGCTGGGCAGAGCGACGACGGGCGAACGAGGCGCCGGGCCCCCCGCAGCACGGAGTTCCCGCGACGCGCGCTGGTCGCCCCGAGAGGGTCCCAGCGACGCGCGCGGGTCGTCCGCGGCGCGAGGCCAAACAATTAGTCGGGCAGTCGAGAGAAGGCGCGGCTCGGGGGAGACGCTCCTCAGGTCAGGCCTCGCGGATGAACTCGGTGAAGCCGAGCTCCCTGGCGAGGGCCGTCGCTTCCCTCCTGCACCGCTTCGTGCGCGCCGCAAACTGCTCCAGCTGCTTCCGCAAGCCCTGCGGCGGCCCTGCCAGGAAGAACTCGATGCGCGGCGCCCGCATGAGCAGGAGGTCCTCGTGGCGCGTGGCGCGCGAGAGCAGCACGTAGAGCTCCAGCCACCAGTCGTCGTCCTCCTTCTTGCCGTTCCCTACCTCGTGGCGGCCGCAATCCAGGATCACGCCTGGGCGACGTCGACCGAGGGAGCAGCGCGCCGGGCAGCCGACGGCCCAGGGCGAGAGTCCACAGGACCGAGAGATGGTCTGGCCGCGGACTGCTCGCGCCCCGGAGGTCTGGCCGCCCCCGGAGCGCCGTTCCCCCGCCCCGTCGCCTTCGCGCATGGTGCGCCCCTGGCACGCCACCGTGGTGATGACCCTGCCGTGCGAGAAATGCGGGGGGGGGGCCGAAATGGGTGGGGGTGACGCATGCGGGCGGCGGCACTGAGGCCTTCGGTGGAGCTCCCTATGGAGCCACGAAACGTGTGAGGGGTGTGCCGAAATGGGTGTGGGTGACGCATGCGGCCGCGGGCACTGGGGCCTTCGGTGGAGCTCCCTATGGAGCCACGAAACGTGTGAGGGGTGTGCCGAAATGGGTGTGGGGGACGCATGCGGCCGCGGGCACTGGGGCCTTCGGTGGAGCTCCCTATGGAGCCACGAAACGTGTGAGGGGTGTGCCGAAATGGGTGTGGGGGACGCATGCGGCCGCGGGCACTGGGGCCTTCGGTGGAGCTCCCTATGGAGCCACGAAACGTGTGAGGGGTGTGCCGAAATGGGTGTGGGTGACGCATGCGGCCGCGGGCACTGGGGCCTTCGGTGGAGCTCCCTATGGAGCCACGAAACGTGTGAGGGGTGTGCCGAAATGGGTGTGGGTGACGCATGCGGCCGCGGGCACTGGGGCCTTCGGTGGAGCTCCCTATGGAGCCACGAAACGTGTGAGGGGTGTGCCGAAATGGGTGTGGGTGACGCATGCGGGCGCGGGCACTGGGGCCTTCGGTGGAGCTCCCTATGGAGCCACGAAACGTGTGAGGGGTGTGCCGAAATGGGTGTGGGTGACGCATGCGGGCGCGGGCACTGGGGCCTTCGGTGGAGCTCCCTATGGAGCCACGAAACGTGTGAGGGGTGTGCCGAAATGGGTGTGGGTGACGCATGCGGGCGCGGGCACTGGGGCCTTCGGTGGAGCTCCCTATGGAGCCACGAAACGTGTGAGGGGTGTGCCGAAATGGGTGTGGGTGACGCATGCGGCCGCGGGCACTGGGGCCTTCGGTGGAGCTCCCTATGGAGCCACGAAACGTGTGAGGGGTGTGCCGAAATGGGTGTGGGTGACGCATGCGGCCGCGGGCACTGGGGCCTTCGGTGGAGCTCCCTATGGAGCCACGAACGTGTGAGGGGTGTGCCGAAATGGGTGTGGGTGACGCATGCGGCCGCGGGCACTGGGGCCTTCGGTGGAGCTCCCTATGGAGCCACGAAACGTGTGAGGGGTGTGCCGAAATGGGTGTGGGTGACGCATGCGGCCGCGGGCACTGGGGCCTTCGGTGGAGCTCCCTATGGAGCCACGAAACGTGTGAGGGGTGTGCCGAAATGGGTGTGGGTGACGCATGCGGCCGCGGGCACTGGGGCCTTCGGTGGAGCTCCCTATGGAGCCACGAAACGTGTGAGGGGTGTGCCGAAATGGGTGTGGGTGACGCATGCGGCCGCGGCCACTGGGGCCTTCGGTGGAGCTCCCTATGGAGCCACGAAGCGTGTGAGGGGTGTGCCGAAATGGGTGTGGGTGACGCATGCGGCCGCGGGCACTGGGGCCTTCGGTGGAGCTCCCTATGGAGCCACGAAACGTGTGAGGGGTGTGCCGAAATGGGTGTGGGTGACGCATGCGGCCGCGGGCACTGGGGCCTTCGGTGGAGCTCCCTATGGAGCCACGAAACGTGTGAGGGGTGTGCCGAAATGGGTGTGGGTGACGCATGCGGCCGCGGGCACTGGGGCCTTCGGTGGAGCTCCCTATGGAGCCACGAAACGTGTGAGGGGTGTGCCGAAATGGGTGTGGGTGACGCATGCGGCCGCGGGCACTGGGGCCTTCGGTGGAGCTCCCTATGGAGCCACGAAACGTGTGAGGGGTGTGCCGAAATTGGGTGTTGATGATGATGATGATGATGATGATGATGATGATGATGATGATGATGATGATGATGATGATGATGATGATGATGATGATGATGAATGATGATGATGATGATGATGATGATGATGGGAGGGGGGGGAGGCAGCGGGAGGAAGGAAGGAAGGAAGGAAGGAAGGAGAACGCGGGGCACCGTCTCTTCAAAACGAGGACCCAACACCACAGGATGGCTGGGAAAAACGGAGGCAGCCGCCCTGTAAGAACGGTTTTTTGTAGGCAGATCTGCCTTCAAGAACGGTTTTTTGAAGGCAGATCTGCTTCAATGTAAGAACGGTTTTTCGAAGGCAAATCTGCCTTCAAAAAACTCTGTAAGAACGGTTTTTTGAAGGCAGATCTGATTTCAAAAAAACGTTCTTACAGAGTAGACCAATCTTTTGAAGGCAGATCTGCCTTCAAAAAAACGTTCTGACAGAGTCGGCATGGGCCTCATAGCTCATGCCGGCAAGGGCGGCCCAGCGACAAGGGCGGCCTGGGCCACGTAGCCCATGCTGGAAAAGAGAGCTTGTGCCAACGTGTGGCAAGGATGCATCTGTTCCGAAACTCCACACAAGGCAAGATCGGATCGGGGTCCTCTGCGCGATCAGGTTATAGGCTATGCCCAAAAAGCCCTGGGGGATGGGCGAGGGTCTTGGTCGTGGGCTCGTTGCAACATTCCCTCCCTGGGGCGTGGCTTTTGTAAGCTGAACGTGGCTTAGGGCGGTGGAATCTGAGTGGGGCTGGCAGGGTGTGGTACACATACACATCGTAAAATAAACAATCCATGACATCCGCGGGTTCTGAGGAGTGTATCGGGCCCCGCAGCTTTCTCTGAGTGATTTCTCCGCAGAGACCGTCGGCAGCAGCGGGAGAAGAGAGAAGTCGGCTGCCCCTCGTGGGGCTATCCCGCGCCACACTCAAGCCCTTCTCAGCTCTAGCACTGCACCCTGGAAGGCCAACGCGACACTTCACCGCAAGTGCCTGGACAATAAACTGGGCCCGTGCGAAGGGCAGAAAAAAGACTGGAAACTTTAGTTAAGTACTTGGTCGGCATGTGCACACAGCTCGCGCTACAAAACGCCGCTGTGTCACGAGCCAGGGGAAGAGGGAGGAGGAGGAGGAGGAGGAGGAGGAGGAGGAGGAGGAGGAGGAGGAGGAGGAGGAGAGGAGGAGCAGCTGTCTCAGGGCTTCGGAACGCTCTGAAAGCGTTCGGGAACGCTCTGGAGAGAGTTAACCCGCTCCTAGGCCTGACTGACCAACCCCGAGGCCTCAACAATTTAACAATCGAAAGCGACGGCGCAGCTCGAGAGAATATGCTCACGCCCTGAACGCTCGTCAGGAGTGCGTGCGCGACACGAGAGTCGACGATGCCCTGCGCGCATTCTGGCGGAAAACGGACAGAAAAGACAGCCCGGATTTACGCACCCCCCAGCCTGCAATTCATTTCGAACATGACGTTCAACGACGAAACCAAATCCCGCCCTCTTCGCTGGAGGCCGTCTTTCTCAACCATGTTGCGCATGGCCCACGTCCGTGGGACACCAGATCGCGTGCACCCACTTGCCACGCAACGAGCCACCGCTGCCTGCAAGCTACAATGATGCTGCTCAACCTGCGATCTACTGTACTGTAGCTTGAATGCTGAAGCACGAGGATGCGGGAGGATGGCGGAAAAGTACTGGGGCGGCAAATGGACCAGGAGTAGGGACACGAGCAGCTGGACCAGGAGCTGCAGGAGCAGAGGTAGCAACAAGAGCATAATGACTATGAAAACCCGAAGCCGCAAAGAGGTCAAGAAGAGAAACATGATGGCGCCGTCTCCAGTTCCAGCGCTCCCTGCCCGCATCCCCTCCACCCTTCGCCCTATGTTATGGGGCGGGTAGCTTTGGGCGGAAGGTGGGGGCGAGTAGACAAGATGGTAGGGATTAGTCGACTTTGTTGCCCTCCCTCGCAAACCCGATTATCACGTAGAGGTCTGGGAATTCGCCGACCCCGTCGGCGTCTGCGAGATGGGTTCTCCTTCGAAGCTCAAGTCCTTATGACCACCCCTCTGGGGCCACGTCCTCAGGAACTCTCCCTGCCTTTCCATGCGGCCACCTGGGCGATCAAATCTCGCTAGCCCGAGGCGTGAGTCGACCTCGGAATGGAGTCGAGGGGAAATCCCCGAGAGGCCTGAAAGAGCCCTGCGAGCCCCGACACCAAGAGAGCCCCAAGAGATCCCCAGAGGCTTCCGAGAGGCTTCTGAACTACAACCCAGGCGCGATAACGGGATGGAGCCGAAGGCCACTGGGTCCGCCGTCCCCTGAGGGGTTTCATGGGGGTGCACGGCGTGCTAGATGTCTGGCAATGTTAAATTTAGTTCTAAAGACCCCTTGGGGTTTCGGCCCAGCCCGCGGGCCACCCGAAAAGCGCAACGGGTCCCGAAAAATCTCTCCAAGACGGTCTGGATGGTCCCTACGAAGGCAAATATTGCCTCCAAGATACCTCCAAGACGGCCAAGCTGGCCACAAGAGAGCCCAAGATAGCTCCAAGATGGCTTCCAAGACCGTCTCAAGATGCCTCCAAGACCGCCAAGATGGTCCAAGAGAGCCCAAGACGGTCCGAGAAACGCCCAAGAGGCCCCCAAGACGGCCAAAGAGGCCTCCAAGAGGTCCTCCAGGAAAGCCCGAAGAGGCCGAAATCAGTCTCGGTATTTGAAGGAAGTTGGCATTGGCTTCACAACGGCCTTCCGACGGCCCAAGACAGCCAACTAGGCTCCCAAGATTGCCCCAGGATCGCCCAAGAGGCATCCAAATGGCCCCAGGACGGCCCAAGAGGATCACATGACGGCCCCCAAAGTCCCCAACACACCCCGAAAGGCCTCCAAGACCCAAGTTCGCCGTCAAGACAACCCTGCGGCCCAAGAAGGCCCGAAGACGGCCCAGAGAGGCTCCCAAGACAAGCTCCGCCGGTATCAGACGGGCCAGGATTTTTTTTTGCACCTCAGGCCTGTCGCAAGCAGCTAGGGCCGCGAAAGCGCCGTGGGGCGCTGGAGGGCGGATCAGGTGTCGAGGAGGCGGGAGCCCTTGCCCTTAATCGCCTTGCCCCCGAACGGGATCCCCTTGTTCTTGCCGATGCCCATGGAGTTAGCCTTGACCGCCTGCTCGCTGTTGCGCACCGTGGTGGCGGACCAGTCGTACTCGAAGGTTGTGAGCACGCCAAAATTGTCCACCATGCGCGAGGGCATCGTGCTGGTGGCCCCCGTGTTGAACCTAGAGTTCTCCAGGTTCGCCGTGTCCTTCATCGCCTGCTGCTCGCAGCCGTCGTAGATGTCCGAGGGCGGCTTGAAAGATGTGTCGAAGTGATCTGGATCCAAGGCCAGCGCCTCGGAGCACTTCATGATGGCAGACCTGCCGCGCCCAGAAAACGTGGGCACGCCGGGAGAGTCCGCCATGAACTTCATGATGTCCGTCTCGGGCTTCTGCGCGAGGCCAATGGCGAGGATGTGCTGGCCCTGCAGCTTCTCCTCCTGGATGTCTAGCTCCTTCTGCTTGCCGTCGATCTCGTGAGAGTCGTCGGGGATGCTCGCGGCCGTGGAGGCCGCCTTGAAGTCCGTCTCGATCTTCTTGATGGGGCCTACCGCGCTGAGGTGCTTGTCAAGCACCTTCTCCTCCTGCAGGGTGGCGGGCTTGAAGGCCGCGTTGCAGGTCGTCCTCAGATCCTTCTGCTTGCCCTCGAACTCCTGAGAGCCGTAGGCGAGGTTCACGGCCGTGGCAGCCGTGGTGAGGTCCGTCTCGATGATGACGGCGGCCTTGGTGGCCGTCTGGATGACCGTGGGGATCTTCTCCGCGAAGCCTGCCCCGACGCGGTGCTGGTCCAGCAGCTTGTTCTGCTTGCCCTCAAGCTCCTTCTGCTGGCCCTCGAACTCCTGGGAGCCGTGGGCGAGGTTCACGGCCGTGGCGGCCGTGTTGAGGTCCTTCTCGATGATGCTCGCGGCCTTGGGGGCCGTCTGGATGTCCGTGGGGATCTTCTCCGCGAAGCCAGCCCCGACGCAGTGCTTGTCCAGCAGCTCCTTCTGCTTGCTCTCGACTTCGCGAGAGTCGTGGGCGAGGTTGGCGGCCGTGGAGGCCGTGTTGATGTCCGTGGTGTAGCGGCCGATTTGCTTCTCGATGCTGGCGGTGTCCTTGCCCGCCTGGGTGCCGACCTCCGGGTTCATCTCCTTTAAGATGCCGCCGTCAGTCTCGAGCTTCTCGTCGTCCTCCTCCTCATCCCACACATGCTTGGCAGCGTTTTGGCTCTTGTTGAGCCACCGGAGCTCCTTGATGACGGAGGCGAGGGTGGAGGCTCCACCGAACTCCTTCTGCACCTTCATGGCCATCTCCACCAGCGTTGCACGCTGCGAGATGTCGGGTGCGGGATGCGCAAGGCGCGCTGCCTCTGCGAGGAAGAACTTCGCCTTGTCTGGGTCGTTGATGTACGTCATCGCGCCCGTCGGCCACCGGTGTGTGACATAGGCGCGCGTGGGCCCCATGGAGCCGGGTGTGCCGCAGCTGCAAGAAATGGCTTGAGCCAAAATGGCTACGGATCAGACGGGCCAGGAACACCCGTAAGACAACCAAAGAAGCCCCAAGAAGTCCCCCAGAGCCGCGAGCCGCTTGCTGAGGCAGCAGGAACCGCAGCTGCCGGACCTTTGGGATCCACCCGCCTCGGCGCCCTGGGGAACTCGCGCACAGCGTCGCACTTAGGTCACGCGCGGCACGAGCACGAGCCACAATTGCGCTGGTGGGGGGGTGGCTCAAAAAAAACTGTCGCAACCTCAACTCCAACGACTGTTCCACAATGTATTCGCGCTTCCCCTGCCACGCTGCTGCAATTGTGCTCGTGCCGTCTCTCGCCTGTAGGTTGACTGCGGGAATATGGCAGGGCCAAAATGGAGGCGCCGTCCTGGGCCGCCAAGAAGTGCGGGCTCTCGTGCCACGCGGCTCGGCTGAACAGCCCGAAAACGAGGCAGGGGACCGCAGGCGCCAGCGCCCATACGACCAACCTGGCAGGCAGATGGTGTGCCACAACGCGCGCGGGAGGGAGGAGGCCGAGGAAGGAGGACGCCGCGGGAGAAGGAGGGAGCTGAGATAAAGGAGAAAGGACGAGGATGAGGAGAGAGAGAGAGAGACAGACAGACAGGGTTGGCGGAGGACGAGAAACGAGAGATGGCGAGGTGGAGGTCGACGAGGCTGATAAGCAGATCTACATGTACGAGAACAGATCTGTGCATGTGCATATGTACATTTGGAGTGAGATAACTACAGCTGTGTACGGCAGGTTCGTGCCGTGTCGACCTGGGCGTTGGTCCCTGACGCCGCGAGGATCGTTCAACCTTGAACGATCGGCCATTTCCGCAACGTCCGATCGTTCAACATCGACCGATTCTGGGCCTCCGCCGGCGTTCAACGTTGAACGCCGGCGTCGGGGTCGCCGCCGGTCGACACGACGCGAACCTACCGTACATGTCGAGGGAGAGGGAACAAGCAAATGCACATAACAACGATGCAATATGAGAGAGTAAGAGAGAAATATATATATATATATATATATATATATACATATTTTTTTTTAAAAATATTTTTTTTAAAAACAAAAAAAAAAAAAAAAAAAAAAAAAAAAAAAAAAAAAAAAAAAAAAAAAAAAAAAAAAAAAAAAAAAAAACGAACATGAGAGACGGATGGGGAGACGCTTGCTGGCGCAAGTAGAGGGTGACATCCGAGAAAGCCGCGAGCAGAACAGCATGGGAGCGAGTGCCCCCTGATGGGCGACATTGCCCATTGGCAGGCCGCGAGTTCACGCCATTTTACCTCTCGAAGAGGACCTCACACTTGTCGAAAGTCGCGTCTGCGAAAGTGCGACGAGGCTGAGGAGAAGTGAGGTGAAGGCGAAGGAGGAGATGAAGACGGGAGGGAAGAGGACGACAGACGAAAGGAAGCCAGACGAGAAGCAGAAGCACGCACAGTATCCTGTGGACTGGGTACATCCACGATGTTGTCTCGCGTGAGTGGCTCCAAGTACCGAACTAGCAATCAACAATCGGCCGACCCCCACTTGCTGGAGGTGAGAAGGCGTGGGAGACATCGGGCTGTCCCCCTCCCCCTTGTTCCCCACCCCCAGGGTCACACATCCCGTTAGTCAAGACACTTCCTAGGCCTTCAGAGCCTCCAGCTCCACCGTTCGACGCTTTCAAAATGCTCAAGAAGCCCCAAAAGAAACCCCAAGAAGACCCTGGCACGCCCACGAGGCCTCAACTGAGAACTGAGCCCCAAAAATGCCTCACGAAAGCTCAAACTCAGAGGGAACCCAGACATCCATCAAAAAATCTAAAGAACATCCATGCCACTTGTGAGTACTACATCGCCCTTCCGTTCCGGACGCTTCCCAATTCTAGGAGGCCTCCAGAAGGCCCCCAGACGGTCCAGGATGCCTCCAGGATTTCTTCGTTCATCACGATCGCATTCCCCAACGAACGATGGTACCGCGAGCGACTAGAGGAACACTCTGCAATAGGCGAGCCAGCGCGCAAAACCTGGCCTCGTGCAGCATGAAATGCAGCCCGGCCAGGATGAGGTAGGACAAGGAGAGGGTGGGCAGCGTGAAACGATCGTTGTGTGCACCCGCTGCTCAGAGCATCGGCAGGCGCCAGCAGATGGCCCAAACATGCCCCCAGGATGGCCTCACATTGAACTTGAGGCTCCTGGCCGGCCTCCATGCCGGCCCCCAAGTGGCTCCAACACAGCCCACGATCGCCCAGAAACGACTCCAAGGCTCCCCCAGACGGCCCTAAGACCCTCCAAAGCCAAACCAGCACCCCAACAGGCACGCCGAGATGGCCCCTAAGAGGCCCCACGGGAGCCCCCACGGAGCTCCGAGAGAGCCCCAGAGGGCCCCGCGAAGACCCCCGCACGGCGGCCCCACGCAGCGCACCCCACAGCACTCACAGCATGGGACTGTTGCGTGCCAATGTCCCCCCCCCGGGGGGGGGGAAGACACCACGGACCACACGGTACAGTCGGGGAGTTGACCTAAGGAACGATAAATAAGGAACGAGGACCCTTTGTCCAAGATTGAACTCCGATGTTCCATGGAAAACCTCAGGAAAACCCAAGGAGCACTGCAAAGCAACTAAGGAACACGGAGCCCCTCCCCAACAAAAAGAGGTCCTTCCTCAGGGCCCCGACGGTACCCCACCTCCCTGCTCCTGGAGCGCCCCCTCCTGCTAAGCGGGCAGCAATCTCCACGGCCCCGTCCGGATGTCGGGCATCAGGAGGAACACCCCCGCAGCGGACCACAGGTCGCCAAGCCTCACGACTTCGGCGGAGGATGACGAGGACGAAGACGGTGACGGCGTCGGCGACAACCACGGCGACGTGAAGGTGAAAGTGACGAGGGGCGACCAGAACCATGACGATGACGGATACCAAGACCAGGAGAGCGACAACAACCCACTCCAAGCTCCACTCCCTCCTAAACCCCGCCTGCCCTCCTCCTCCTCCTTCAGCCGTCCTCCCACGCCCATCCCCTATCCACCTCCTCCTACCCTTCCCCAATCATCCCGCTCAGCCCTCCTCCAAATCCTCCTCCATATCATCCTGCTCCTCCTTCTCCTCCTCCTCCTCCTCCTCCTCCTCCTCCTCCTGCTCCTCCAATCCTCCTCCTTCTCCGTGTCCTCTTCCTCCCTCCTCCGCCTCCTCCTCCTCCTCCTCGTCCCCCTTCTCCTCGCCCTCCGCCTCCGCATCCGCCTCATCCTTCTCCTCCTCCTCCTCTTCCTCCTCCTCCTTTTCCTGTTCCTCCCCCCTCATCCTCGTCCTCCTCAGCCTCCTGCTCCTTCTCATCATCATCATCATCATCATCATCATCATCATCATCATCATCATCATCATCATCATCAGCAGCAGCAGCAGCATCATCATCATCATCATCATCATCAGCAACAGCATCAGCATCAGCATCAGCATCAGCATCATCATCCTCATCCTCATCCTCATCCTCATCCTCATCCTCATCCTCATCATCATCATCCTCATCATCCTCGTCATCATCAGCATCAGCATCATCATCATCATCATCATCATCACCATCATCATCATCATCATCATCCTTCCTTCCCATCTCCCGTCGACCTCCCCTCTCCAACCCCCACTCTGGATCCCGGATCCGTGGAAACATCTGAGCTCGGGGATTACATGCAAGCACGAGTCCTCCTCCTCCTCCTCCTCCTCCTCCTCCTCCTCCTCCTCCTCCTCCTCCTCCTCCTCTTCGCGGGGGCAAATGTTGAGCGTCCCCAAAGGCCTCACGTCGATATCTCGTGGCCACCTTGGGTCAGCTCACGGCCTGGCTGCAAATTGCTTCAATGGCCCCCCTGCCCCTGCTTGTCCTGCTGCGCTCCTGTTCAAGGCCTACCTACTGCGTGTCCCCCTTCCTCCCGTGCCCCCCTTCCACTTCGCGCGCCCTTTCAGATCTCGCGGCGGGGCGGGGGGGCGAAACAGCGGTCAGTGAAGGGGGGGTTAGGTAATCAGCCGCAAGCAGCTGGTGCTCCCGGCGCCAGGCGGCGCTGGCAGCCACCCTGCGGCCAGGAGTCCAGTACCACGCTGGGCAGCAGGGCCAAAACCAGCTGCATGCATACTGCATGCAATAATTGTCCAACCCCCCTACCCCTCCTTCGCCCCCCCGAATGATTCTATACTTGTTCGAGGTCTGTGGACCGGCCGAAAGGCCTCTACAATCGCGTGTAGGCCAGCGAGGAGGGGTAAGAGGGGTCGGGGAGGAGGGCAGATGGGCAGGACGGATCGGATGAGAGGACTGGAGGGGGCATCAATCGCATCTGGGACACAAGCACGATTGCTCAAAAAAGAGTTCCGAAGATCGCCGGAGCGGTAACAGGACACCCCCAAACCGTCCCAATGACCATCTAAAGCGGCTCATCAACACTTGCCCATAGAAACTCCAGACAGCTTCGAGGATTAGGAGGCATCTCCCAGGAGGTCTTCGTAAGAACGGCGAAGGGGCTCGTAGGCCCAACTAAAGCGCCATTAGACGGGATCAGGCCAGGGTAAGGCCGAGACTAAGCCAGATTAAGCCACAGTGCTCGACCTGAGATATACCAGCTCGGATACTGAATGTACCCTTTCAAGAGTTGCACCCTAGCAAGCGTGCCCGACGAAGACACCCCCAGATTGCTCCGAGACGCCTGAAAGCCCTCAAGACTTTCAAGAGGTCTCAAACCATGGGCGATGCAAAATGTGAGGGGCTCCGACCTCAACCAAGGGAAGCCGGACAGCCGCTCCCCTTCTGAAGATAATCCTGGAGGCCTCGCGCGGCAACTTGAGACCCAGTTGACCTCGGACTCACGTCGGATTCGCGTCGGATCTACGTCGGGCTTACATCGGATTCACGTCGGATGTGCGTCGGACCTACGTACACTTCTCGCCGCACGAACCTCGCCACAGATCTGCCGGGGTGGGCGTGGACTGTGGAGCAGGGGCCGACCGTCCCGGCATTCCTACAGTTATACCACGAAGTGTTCTTAGAACCCCACACATGTTCTGAGAACAAGAACCATGCTCTTAGAGCAGAAGCCCGATGTGTTAAGACAGGACGGTCCCAGCCAGAAGTGTTCTGAGAGCATTTCGTGGAAACCACAAAAGGCTCTTAGAACATTAGTTTCGTGGGGCTACTCGCCATCGCTAGGACGTCCATTCCATGTGTTTTGTTTCGGTTTCGTGGGTGTTTTTTTTCGGCAAATGATCAAGGATGCTCCTCGATGGTCCTCGCCGAAGGAAACATTCACACGTCCGAACGATGCCAAGGCTAGAGGCGAGCCAGGACGCTTCGCCACTGCGTGTGAACTGGGAAATTATCACTGTTGCGCGCCGCGCGAGGCCTCCAAGACTTCCTGTCGCGCCAGCATCTGCTCCTGCGGGACGCGGGTCCTGGACTCCGGGGCCTTCCCCCAGGACCAACTATTCTTAGGTCGGGCCTGTCCCCCATACAGGGGGATTTTGGACGAAACACTGTAAATACCCCAAATATAATCCAACATGGCAGAAAAAATACTCACAAACTAGTCCCCAGACAATTTTTAAAACTATCTTTGAATATCCACCCTATAGAGGGACACGCCCGACTCGCCCGACTTAAAACTGTTCCTCTGCGCTGTTTTCTGAGAGTCCCGAAGCCTGTGGAAGGCCCCGGGTCCCTCGCGGGACCCGCTTCTCGGGTCGGGCGAAAGGGGGGGATAGCAAAGGGGGGGGTGAGAATCAGCTCACGTAGCTGATTTTCCCAGCGCCTCCTGGCGCCGGAGGCGGCTATGTATCGAGGAATGGGCCCCTCGGTGAGGCCGAAACCAGCTGCATGCAGCAAATTTCGTAACCCCCCCTTTCCCAATCCCCCCCTTTCGCCCTGCCCGAGCTTCCCCCCTGGAAAGCACACCACGCACTGGCCCACTCCAGCTTTTCCTCCTGTCGCCCGCCGCCGCCGGGGGCCGTGCCTGAAACAGAAGGCGGCGCCGGCCACCACCAGGCCGCGGAACCTCGTGGGTATCACCTCCGTCAGGACCCGCCGGCCCTCCGCCCCAGAGGGCGGCAGCATCGGGGATCTTCTGACCCGGTTCAATCCAGACCCGGGTCAGCAGGAAACCAAAAACTGCAATGCAGGAAAAAAAAACTGCAACGCAGATCCTCGCAAACCCGGGTCAGCCAATATGCGCGGCCGCCTCGCGGCTACGAGCGGCTCGCTAACCCGGGTCAGCCAGAGGGGGTCTTCGCAGGATCCTGCAGGATCTGGGCGCCAGCCGGGGGCAGCGCCGATCCACGAGATGCGCGCGGACTCCCGAGCATTTCGGTGTCTTGCGGGGCGGGGGGTTCTCCATGTAACCACCGCCTGGGGCATCGATCTTCGGAGACCTCTGCAGGCGGTGCCTCCTCCTCTTCCTCCTCCTCCTCCCTCCCTCCCTCCCTCCCTCCCACCCTGCCCGCCTGCCTCTCTCCATCCCCCTCCTCATCCTCCTCCTTCTCCTCCTCATTTTTCTCCTCATCATCCTCCTCCTCGCCCCGAACGCTGCCCCTGAATTTTGC